CGTTGACGGGGGAGCCGTATCTGATGGGGAAACGCGGCTCGACGTAACACCGGCGAGAATGAGTTAACATCGGCGGTTGCAGATCAGACCAGCTGATCATCAAAGCTGTTCATCTTTTTAATTTAACTGGGAATGGATCATTTCAGCTAAATATCGTACAGAAAGAACCGCAGCTCGGAGCACTATTTTACCTGGAGCTGTTTCACACGAAGAAAAGCTAGCTTGTTAGCCTGCTAGCCGTCAGCTCTCCTGTAGCCTCGCTACGAGGTGCTCAGTGTAGCTTTCTGAGCAATGAACGAGACAGTCCCAATTATGCTCATAATTAATATAAAACTCTTAATAAAAAGCAACTGAGGCTGCTAAAAAAAGTTCCTGTTATGACCGCAGCAGAGAGTGTCCTCATATGGCTGTGTTGTTAATAATCCAGCAGGGGTAAATATTGTTGGCATCCTCCTTCAGACCGAGCCTTTTGGTCACAAAACTAAAGGATCTACTCAAACTGTGAAGCACTGAATAGGCAAAGTCTTGTAACCCTGATTTTTGAGTCTTTAAATGGTCTGAGCAGACCGAGGATTCATTGTTTTCCAGTCTTTCCTCCACATCTCATCAACACAAACCTTCTGCCCTCAGGATCTTAAAAAAATAAAAATAAAAAGCTGGCAGCTGACCCTGCACCACTTGTGAACCCAAAGGCCACACAATATTCCATTTCAAGTCCACAAAAYAATGTAAAAGTCTTAAAAACAAAAGCTGCTTCAAAATGTAATCCTACGAGGAGCGAGAGTCATTCAACAAATATTATGTCACACAAACTGCGCCCCCTGCTGGAGCTCTGAATGGGATGCAAAAGTATGGTTTTTCACGCAATTTGTAGAAAATTACATGTTTTGGTCAAATATTCATACTACATACAACAGATACTATCAAATTATTCAATTATTTCACCAACTAAAGTAGCCTTCATTTCACATTTAAGACAATTTGTTCATGTACAGCTTAGTATTTGATATCATGACTTTAAGTAATGAAAAGCAACTCATTGCACCAGTTGGGGTTAAATAGCTTGTTGCCAGCTGAAAGATAATCGCCCATGCAATAATTATCCAATAGAAGGCTTGTACCTATTTGCTTAGTTAAATCCAGGTGGCAACTTTTTTTTAGCCAGGCAGTGTATAATGTTAATGATTTTTTTGTTAAACATTATATTTCTGTATAAAATGAATGTTTTTTTTTCAGATGTGACTGATGTGAGTGATCATGTGACCTATTTTGTAACTCTGACCACATGATTGATTGATTTATTTTATAAATCCACCTAATGAACTGAACATGTTATTAGTTTATTTGTGAGTCAGTTTATGGTTATCATGTTTTTTCTCTTTGTTTCTGTCAGTGTAAACTGCTGGAGGAGCACGTGGAAAAAGGAGAGCTGTTAAAAGAGTACGAGAGTGTCCCAAAGCATCGTCAGGGAGCAGAGTACACCATCTGTGGTTATGCAGAAAATTTAGACAAGAACCGATTTCTAGACATTCTGCCTTATGACGACAACAGAGTGGAGCTGGTTCCCACTAAAGAGAACAACACAGGTTACATCAATGCATCACCCATTAAAGTAAGTTTACATAAGCAATTTCAACCCCACATGAATATAACTTTGATTTTAAAAAAAGTCTTTGTCACAGTGGAATAAATTTGTTGTGTATGCATTCATAACGTACTGTACATTAGGGTCGGGCAAAACCATGTTGTGTACAATTAGTCATCACAAAATTTGTTGCCAGTTAATATTTGGCACTTGGTGATTAATACAATTAGTGCCGGTTTACCTAGTAGTCTGCTCAGTGCTCTTCCTCTCTTTGCTCTTCTAAACAAAATACTGTAATGGATCACCTACTGCCTCTTCAAAGTCCTCTGTCTGTTTTAAACTTTTATTTGTCCTCCATCTCTGATTTATCTGTGTCCGCAGCACAACCTCCATCTCAATCAGCTGGAACTCCCATGTTCAAAAATCGCCTCATTGTTTTGAGTTAAACACAGTAAAACGGACTAAAACACACTAAACTACACTCTACAATACAAGCATGCTAAATATCAGGAATATCATAAATCTCTTAAATCGAATTACTCAGTCGCACTCTCACAGTTTCTCTATCGCAGCTGAACCTCATGGAATTTTTGCGTCTTTTTCTTCTTCCTGTAGATTTTTTGGCGCATAAATAACTTTAGGTCTCAGTCAGAAGGGAGGCCAGTGGTTTTATGTTTGTTGGGCGGGGTGGGGGTCAGTCTGCAACTGCATTACATGCGCATATAACAATTTTTTTTAAACAAAGTGCCATAAATTATTTATCATAACTTTAGTTTTAGTTGGCCTATCAACACAATTTTAAAACTGGTGTATAGCTTAAAGTCTGTATTTTCAATCACAAATTAAAACAGATGCTTAGAGAGGGCGTACCTTTCTTGCTAGAGTGACTGGTCATGTGACTCATACATGTCGGCTCGTCCAGGAACTCCAGAGAATTAATCAACATATTTATCATTATCAGATAAATGCCACAATTAATCTTTTATTTATTTTTTTATATTTTAATTTTTTCTCCCGACCGTAGGGTAAAAAAGTCACAAAGCCAGAAATTTAAATGCTACTACTTTTATGGATTTTAGCTACTTGTCAATGGCAGTTAAGCTACAGGGGTCTTGCATTTAGTGATTAGGATAGAAACATTGTCTAATTGTTTTGATTCAGTTTTTAAGTGTCTCCCACAACTGATTTTTATTTTCCTCTCCACACTGTTTCTGGTCTTGTTAGGTCAAAGTAGGCGAACAGGAGTGGAGTTACATTGCTGCGCAGGGTCCTATGTCGCACACATGTCAAGACTTYTGGCAGATGGTGTGGGAGCAGGGTGTTTCCATCATATGCATGGTCACTGCTGAAGAGGTGAGTTCATTTTAGATTATTAAAGCTTCATATTATGGGTGGGAGTCATCTTGAGTCTACTTCTTTGTGATAGGTATTAAATAGTTGCATCAAATACAAATCATCAGTGTTTTAGCAAACTACATCAACTTCACTGAGTTTAGTTTTAGTCCATAAAGTAGAAATTTCAAACAGAACAACCAACATAATGTAAATATTCACTAGTCAATATTTTATTACAGTAATAAAGCTCCTAAAGCTTGAACCTGTAAGGGTGTTTCTGCATTTAACATTGTTTATTCATATATATTCCTATTTCAAATGAAATACATAAAAACATCTATTTATTTATAACATGCATGCATGACCCTGTTGGGGATCAGGTTGCATGACAGTGTAGTTAAACAAAAGTAGTTAAAGTTTGCTTCAATAACTTTGCTTTTATTGCTTTCATTCCTGCTGCATGAAAATGCACAACAATGCAATAGAGGACTATATTTTAATGAACACAGTAGTGAAGTGTATGCATCACAGAGATGCATTTTACATTTTTATTATTTAGCAAAATCTTCAAATAACTGAAAAAAAAGTTTTTTGTTTTTTTTTATAAAGCCTGAAATTAATCTGATACTACACTGCCTGGCCAAAAAATGTTGCCACCAAAAAAAAAAAAAAAAAGGTCACACACTTAATATTTTGTTGGACCACCTTTATCTTTGGTTATGGCACCCATTTGCTAGGGCATTGTTTCATTAAGCTTCTGTAATATCACAAGATTTATTTCCATCCAGTGTTACATTAATTTTTTTACTAAGATCTGGCTTTAATGATGGTAGAGTCTGACCGCTGTGCAAAGCCTTCTCCGGCACATCCCAAAGATTCTCACTGGACTCTGTGGAGCCAATCCATGTGTGAAAACGATGTCTCACGCTCCCTGAACCACTCACAATTCAAGCCCCATGAATCCTGACGTTGTTATCTTGGAATATGGCCGTGCCATCAGGGAAGAAACAAATTCATTGATGCAATGACCTGGTMATTCAGTATATTCAGGCGGTCAGCTGACCTCATTCTTTCAGCACTTACTTTTGCTGAACCTAGACCTGACCATGCAGCAACCTCACATCACAGACATTAGTTAAATCCAAGTGATGACTTATTTTGGCCAGGCAGTGTAGTTAGAGGTCACATCTCTCTGACTGACGTTTTAATATCATCCTCTTGTAGGAGAGCGGGCGAGAGAAGTGTTACCGTTACTGGCCCCGACTTGGCTCACGGAACAACACTGTGACTTATGGACGCTTTAAGATAACCACGCGGTTCCGTACCGAGTCTGGCTGCTATGCCACAACAGGGCTGAAGATCAAATCCCTTTTGACGGGACAGGAGAGGACTGTCTGGCACCTGCAGTACACAGACTGGCCTGACCACGGTTGTCCTGAGGACTTCAAAGGCTTCCTCAGTGAGTGCAAACAGTATTGTCTGTTTTATTTAACAACACAATCTTCAAAAAAAAAAAAAAGGGAAAACAAAAACGTGCCCCTGTTAACAAGTTAAAATTAGTTTTTTTTTAAAGGAGATGCTGTCTAAATTAGTAAGATAAGAAACATCTCTGGAAACTGCAATCACTGTTTCTCTACTGTGAATTAATTCTTAATTGTTGTCTTTTCTGTCCTCCAGTGTACCTGGAGGAGATCCAGTCTGTGAGGAGACACACAAACAGCATCAGTGATCCAAAGAACATCAACCCACCTGTGGTGGTCCACTGCAGTGCCGGGGTGGGTCGGTCAGGAGTTGTCATCCTGTCTGAGATTATGATAGCATGTCTGGACCACAATGAGGTAACAATATTCATGAAAGTGAAACAAAAAAACTCTTGTTTAATCAGGCTCATTTATATATTTCTGAATGAATATAAATATTCTCTTTCAGCCATTAGACGTCCCAAAGTATCTGCGGATGCTGCGTGATCAGAGGTCCTGCATGGTTCAGACCTTGTCTCAGTACACCTTCGTCTACAAAGTCCTCATCGAGTATCTCCGCAATTCCAGACTGATCTGACCTCAGACGACTTTTGGGTGACTCATCACAGATGATTGAAGGATGGATTTATGTTGAACAATGGTGCATTGATGCAACTTCTTAATTTTATAGAGGCCAAAGTTTGGACCCTGGTTTGTGCTAAAGTATTAAATTAGATTGAAGACATGAAATATGTGGATGTACGAGAAACGCCAAATGAAGACATCTGCATACTGTGACCTGCCTCGAAACAGTATTATCGAATTATGTTTTTTTACAAACAATTTTTAATAAAGCCCAGCACTTTCATTGTACCATGTTGTACATAATGACTCAATATTAAGCTACATAAAACAAATACTCTATTGTTGAAAACCTGTATTTTCATTTGCCTAAGGACACTTTTTTAAATGTGTTTTGATTTCTGCTGCTTGGTTTTAATCAAAGCTGAAATAATACTGCCCAGAGTTCAGAGCAATATTAAACAATCAGCACTGAGCTTGGGTTGTGGAACTGAGTGCAGTAGTTAACCTTTTAAATATTTAATTAACTTTTCTACGGTTGAACACCAAGACATATTGGACTGGTTGTTGTGAAACACTGGACTGATGGAAATTTGCAGTACACATTTGGAAGAAAAAAAAAAGTAATCCTTTTGGTTACAACATCAGGTTTGGGATTTATGATGATATATTTTCAGAGTGGTGATGTTACAAAGTGCTCAATTATCTGCACTAAAAAGCTTTTCTGTATTTTTTATGTTTTTCATTCAGTATAACTTATTGAAGCAATCAACATTTTTGTACAAACATCAATCAAGAACTAGAAGTTGACATAAAAAGATCTGTAATAATGGGCAGGAGGTCACACATGCAGTGGGGTGAGTTTCACACTGATGAATAGACTGGCTTCAGTTTCAGGGCTCTGGCTGCTACTCTTGTTTTCAGTCCATCAGACACTTCCTATTTGAACTAATAACCTCCTGACGAATAAACACATCTTGTGTCATTCTGCTCTGCTGAAGTTTAGTCCAGATGATTTCTCCCAGTGAAATCAGAATATAAACTGCACAGAAACAATGTTTACAAGCACTGTAAGGAGCTCTTGGAACATTATTTTTCTTATACATTGTAAAGGTGCCACTTTAATCAGGTGCCCTGACTGTTGTTGACAATTTTATTCAAGACACTTCAGGTTTTGCTGAAATAAATAAAGAAAAAAAATGCATTTGAACTGATTTGATGGACTGTTTTCCAAAACTCAATTTCTTTTAATTTTATTTTTTTGGTTTTGCAATGAAGTTTGGAAACTGAAAGGAGGGGGGGRAAAGGCGTTTGTGCCCAAAAAGTAAATGTTTGTCCATGTACAGGTATGTTTCATAATGTACACAATGTAAAATGCTGCTTCACTGAAAATTGTACAGAAATTTGTATAAACTATGTATTAAATAAAACATGTTCCTGATTAAAAGTGTGGAAAATAAAAAGCCTATGTTTTTCTTTTGACATCCAGCTGTTAACGCCACCTTGTGGTTGATGTTTTATAATCCAGTTTGTGTCAACATTCCAGCTTTATTGTGTTCTATATCTTTATACACACATAATGCCATAAAATGAGTTTACATTAGACTTTTAATACTTTTTATTTAAAAAAGTGCACCTTTTAATTTGAAGATATACTATGAAGAAAACATTT